TATATATATATATATATATATATATATATATATATATATATAGGTTATTTCAGTTCTACAATGATTTACAATGGGATTTCTTAGTTATAATGCCTCAGATTAATAGTAGTGACATTTTGTTCTTGATTGGTTGGTGGATCCGACTTTTTTAAACCTTGGATTGCTGTGATACGAGCAGCATGCCAATATTGAATCATACCTATAATAAATACAATGCATCTAATGGTTTGAACTGTGGTTGCAGATTGCACTATGTTAATATAACCTGATTAACTTAGATGGTTATTTTTAATATTCAGAAAAAATGTGATGTCATGTTGTGTAACGGGTTGTAATGTTGGAGATAATCCTTGGCAGGTTAAATCAGCTGACAGTAATGCACAGAGTCTGCATTTTAGATAGTGTGATCATCAACCCAAAGGGAGCCGCATCAGCAAATAAGTCAGAATGATGCAACTCTCTGGGTGAACCACATAGTTGACACTAGCCTGCACCCTGAACAGCATATCAACTCCAGAGGAGCTCCAGCTGTTCGCTTTGGATTTCATACCACCACATGGAATGATCTTAAAACCTGCTTTTTAACGCATATTCTTTGGGCATTAGATAACAAGAGATCTGCGACACAGATGCTCACATAGATGAGGGTTAAAACTCCAGATGAGAAAACAAAAGCTCAGATTTAGGCCCCTCCTCTTAGGTAGCAGCCAAAACACAACTGTTTATGCAGCTGAAAAAGCTGGCTTAATCTCAAAACGATTGGAAAGCAGGAACCAGGAGAGACAAAGGAGAAGTAAGCAACTCCCAGCAGCCTATAACCCTCAGCTAAAGGTGCTGGAGTGCAACGAAGCCTGACGGAGCAGCAATATGTAACTCTGCAGGCCGATTCACTGACAAACAGCAGGTAACACATGTTGGAAGCCGCTTTTCAGCTGTCCTGCCTCAACATGAACATCTCCAGTTCCTATCAGGTCTGAACTTAATTTTGAGCTAGATTAAATTTATCAATTGATCCAATCAAGTGACAATAAGCCCTTAAAAATCGTGTTTTAGCTCCTGTCTCCAACCCTGACTTTAAGGGATAAAATATTATGAAATATGCATATTCTCTGCAAGAAATAACTAAGAAAAAGGCCAGGATTTCGAACATTATTCAATGATTGAACCACACATATTGCCAGGATGCATCACACAGTCAACATGCAAAAAAAAAAGAAAAAAAAAAGATAAAGATTGTGGAATTGAAAGAATGAATTATTATAGAGAATCTGCAAGAAGATCCATATGTTTGCGGCACAGGAAAGACTGGCCTTATTCAGAGTGCAGCAAAGCAGATTTTATTGTGGACATAATAACGAGCATCGCTCCCCACCCCGCTGCTGCCTCCACACACGATCCATGTTTCCACAGCTTCAAAATGGCTGAGCCGTTAACCTTTTTTGTTGTTGCTCCAAAAATGAGAAAGGGGAACCATTTCTTGATAAACACCCGCCAGGGCCGGGAGGAGGCATCTTGTTGAAAGTGTTTGTCACATTTGAGCAGAGATAGGGGAGTCAATCCCCTACTCCACAGAAGGGGAAGTAGGGGATTGAAGTGCTTTGTTTTGTGATCATTACAAAAAAAAGCTTCTGCTTACAAGCTTTATATTAGTATAACTAAACATTAAAAACACCCTATTTTTTTCCTTTTCAATCTAATATTTTAGTAGTGCTTCACTGAGTCACAATCTCTGCTAATCTCTGATAATTAAAAAAAAAAAAAAACTAAAAAAGAACATAATTTACTTTAAAACACACAGCTCTACTGGATAGATGGTGAAATGACTCGTTGAGATCAGATTGTGAAATTTTTACAACATTGGCAAGAAACATTTCCCCTTTATTTTAATGGGGTTGTGGCGAGAGCAGCGAGAAAACCCGGCCATCTTTGTAGCCCCGTAGCTCAGACTTCTTTCACAGCAGCAGCACCTTTAAATGTTTAAACGGGTCACTGAGCGGTGGTCTTTTATCAACTGGATTAGAATTTTCATACCTTTTATGGTTTTCACACAACTGTTATTAAAATCCTTTGATTAACTTTATGGTTTTACAGCAAAACAGGAAACCTTGGGTGTGTGATTTCACATTCAGAGACATCTATATATAAACTACTCTTTTTAAACTCCACATATTCAATGTATACATCAAAATCTGATTAAAAATTGGATGTGAAAAATGTAGTGAGTTCTGTCGTCTTTTACCACCATGCCTCTCTCACTGCTTTAGGACTTCTGTCAAAACCCCTCAGGGTGCAGAGAACTGTAATTTAGCAAAAACTATAATAACATGACAAAACATATGAGAAAAGAACGCCCACTTTACTCAAACTGAATCAACTGCTATTTTATCCATTATGTTTTTTAGATTAGTACACATTTCGATTCAGTGTTAATTTAGATTTTACATGATATTGTTTAGCTAAGAGTTGGGAAATCTTTTATTGTATCCCGAACCATGAAAAAAAAGCTTATCCTAAGAGTCAAAGTCTCTGACTGTCTAAAGTAATCAGAGGCTTTTTTTTCCTCCTTTCTCACTTCTATAGAGTTTATGACACTCTTCTCTGTTCATGTATTCAACAGATAGTATCTTAGACACATAACATTTTATTTCTGCTCTTCAGAAATGTTTGACTCACATCACCATAGCCTCTCTGTCCCTTAATCTGAACACTGCAAACTGTAGCCCTTAGCTCCTGTTCCTTCACCATTTATGGGGTAACAATATGATCATCATTGTGTCTAGGAAAGGAACTGTATCTGGACACCCTTCAGCCATCTGGACTTCAAATTGAGACTTCAAAAAAGAACTAAAAAAAAAACAACTCAGGCTACACAAATGTAGCTCTCTTTAGTTAAACCCAAAACATGTGAAGGTTTTTACATTAGCATGTGTCACTGAACTATCGATGAACTATCGATAAGAAGCTTCCTGCTTCCTTTTCCTACCTCTTTCCTCATTAGCAGCACTATTTAGTTTATCATGGTGACCACTGACGCACTTCTGCTCTGGCCTAAATGTCCCTCCTAATTTACAGGATTGGATGGACTCCTTGTATTGAGGTTTAAATCCTTGTTTCCTTGTCTGTAGTGTAAAAAAAGTGGTGCTGTGATCATTTCAATCCAATATGGCTGCAAAAAGCAAACTCTAAAAAGAATTGCACCATCTATGATAAGGATGTGATAGATTGTTGCTCTTCTATATATTGTTGGTTTTAGCGGAGTGAGCGACTGTTTAGGCCCCGACTACAGGCCGCTTTTTTTGTTTTGGTGAAAACAAAAAAGTTATTTTGCGTTTCTACTGTTTGCAAACACCACAAAGGCCTGAGAATGGATTCCAGAGTGTAACATTTGGAAAACACTGCTCTTTCCATGGACACAGGAAATCTGAACCTTCCTCTATGGGAAAACACTGGCAAACATTTGTATTGACATACTGCTGGTGCCTTTTTCAGGGGGAGGGAGAGGCACATATTGGTGTTGAATTTAAAAGAACAACAAGTGGTGTGAATTCCTACTGTGACCATGTGCATGAGGAACATAATGAAAACCTTATAATGTTTTGTAATGAATCATTGCCGCCTGCAGAGGGCCTCCAACTGCAGGTTTTACTCCCATTAGAAGCATGTTTGCCTTCCCACTGTCTTCAAGTGCTTGCTCAGGATGTGGGATTTCTGTAATTAAGGAAGCAATTGTCTGAGGTTCCTCCAATTATTATACCAATTTGGTATTATAAACTAAATATGGCTTCATCATACAGAAACTAGCAGTGAAATTAAATAAATGACTGCCTCTGTTTATACTGTAGTGGATTGATCTGACCATCTGTGCTGAGATGTCATTCACTCTGAACTGGTGCTTTATGAATAAATTGAATTGAATTGCACTTTCAATGGATAGCAAGTCAATAACTAAGCTGCAACCATCCGTAAATGTATTATAGGAGAGAAGGAGACTGCCCTATTGACCAGGAAAGCCACATTTTGGACCTAAATGATTTCCTCTCCCTATGATCCACTGCAGAAGCCATTGTGTCCCCTGTAGGCCCCTCTGTGCGTCTTTCATTTGATCTCTGCAGCAAAAACTCTGCTGTTATTCAACCTCCTACTACAGGACACCCCGGCCGCACATTGTCCACTGACAAAACTGCAATCACAGCTCAGGAATGAGGCGGAGAATGACCTGGATACCAGCTGATTAATAATTAAACCCTCCTTGTATCATTTTATAATCTTATATTTGACATGAAAAGAAAAAAAAGGAAAATAAACGGAGGCGATCATCCCCGCTACTTGTTGGCATAAAGCCCGATCAATACAGTTCACATAAGGAGAGGTAATGCGCAAAGACGCAAATAAACAGACCGACATGATTGCTTCTTATGGCTCCCTCCACAGGCATGGTTTGGCTTTAAATCAGAGTAATAAACAGAAAGATTTACCTCTATGTACCCGGCCAGGGAAGGAACCACGACCCCCAGGAGGAGGGCAGATATGAGTGGGACTGAACCCATCTTCCAGGCGCTCCTGATCCTCTGCTGGAAACTACTTATATCCCCTCAGCTGTTTGTGCGCCCAGGCGTCCGCAGGAAGGGAGAGCAGGAAAAAAAGAAGAAAAACAAAAAGACTGGTAGTGGGAGTATTTAAGGAGGGTTCTTTCCAAATCAAAGAGGCTAAAATAAGAGATTCCCTGATTGGTTTTGTTCACTGAGCTCGACTGGGAAGCGCCTCTGTGTCAGACTGCTGTGGAAATGTGGACAAATCTGCCTTTGCTGCCTCCTCCCTCATTTACACCCCCCTCATCTGAGCTGGGCCACAGGAAGAGGGAACAGCGCCACCAGGCGGCTACTATGGGGCTATAACTAACATTTTATTAGTAAAGGTTTTCCAGTTTCTCTCGTTGACCATTGAATCCCATTGTGTTTGGCATTTCTTTATTAGGCTACTTTGCTCTCTCACACCCATGGGCGGTTCTAGACAGGGGCCAACAGGGGCCAGTGCCCCCGTAGATCATTTCCTGGCCCCTATTATGGCCCCTGTACTGAAGACATAATACTTTTTTTTAAAAAGCTGAATTTATCGGGTGTTTTTTTTTGTTCTAATTCAGATTTATATATTTATATAGAAAATTGTAAATTTTGCTTAAATTAAGTCAAAAATATGTAAAAATTCTAAATTATGAATGTATATTGATCTAATAAGACATTTTTTTTAATTTGTAATAATTGAATAGAAATTTCACTTCATAATGTTATATTGATATATTTGAATTTCATGCTTTTCTGTGCCACTATGGAAAAACACCGACCCCCTGGTACATTTGGTCTAGAACCGCCTGTAGGAGCCAATTATTTTTTGTTAATAATTAAAAATGTTTTTTGTTTTTGTGCATAATCTAACTAAGTTTATTTTACTTTGTTGTTTGATATCTGTTATGAGATTATGTTTTTTTGGTTATTTGGTCATGTTCCTTTGTTTTTGGTTAGTTATGATTAATTTAGGTGAATTTTTTTTTATAAATAGGCAGTCAATGGTAGGACCCGCATGCATCTGGGTGGGCTTATGGTGTTTTTTTTACCAGTGCAAGAGAAACATGAAGGAAATGTTTGTCTTTTTTGTTTGCTTGCCTGGGGAAAAATAAACTGAGAAAACTAAAGGAGTTTACCTGGAACATTTTTTCTTTTGCCTGCGTAAAATTAGTCCATGGTGCATCTCTGGCCTTTGTGGATTTCCACTTTTTTGTGTCATCAAAGCTGGGCCACAACACCGCCAGTGGTCACACACAGACATGGGTATAACTTTGTAATGAAAGTTGGTGGGGACACTCTAAGGGTGGCGGCTGATGGACACAAATGCCTTCAATAGGGTTTGTATTTTCCAAAAATACCCTCAAAAATTCATTTTTTGAATCCTTTCCTATGCTTTTCTCAAAACTAAACTTTGAATTATTTGCAGGGTAAAGATAAAATTATGTCTCCGCAAGTCATCTAGGAGTCTTCAGTGAAATCAGAGATAAATAGCTACTTTAATAATAACTTAAACATTAATTAAATGTGGATATTAGTACATGTAAATATAATTTTTTTTTGCAGAATGACTATTGATAAAAGTAGGTTGTTAGGATTCTAGTTTGTGTGGGTTGTTTTTGTGTTTTCCTCTCTCCACCACCAGGTGGTTGCCCTGTCCTCGTTGGGCCTCCCTGCACACCTGCGGCTCGTTGGGTCATTACCGGAGGAGTACTTGAGCAGCGGGCTGTCACTATCTCGAGGCCAGAGTGTTTGCTAGTTTTGGGAAGCCTTCCTGTGCAACTGGATAGCCTGGACCTTCTCCCCCTGGAAGGATTTACTGAGTTCACACTGAGCCGGGGAAAATCTCCACATGATCCGTTCAAGTCCTCATCTGGAACACCAAGCGACAGTACGCTCCTTTACTCCTCTGGGTCCAACGTGTGTCTGCCTGTCTGCTCTCCAACGTGTTCTCTCTTCTCTGGATTAACCCCCCACCAGCTGGATTCAAGGATTAACAAAGAGCCCTCCCAACACTTTCCGGTTCCGGTTCACCAGTCCGCTGAGTTCCAGCTTCTTCTTCAGTGTTTTTCTACATTCAATAAACCTGTTAAACTTTGGCTTTGGCCTCTGAGTGGTTCTCTGCATGTGGGTCAGATCAATAAAACCAATTATGACATAGGTAACGACAATGTAAAAGATATTTGCCCCAGATCTCAAACCTGAAAGAACTTTGGATGCTTAAATATCTGCATCTATTTGTGAGCAAAGGCTGTAGGAAAGTATAGTAAGTCTTTTTTTTAGAAAACATGGATGTTGTGGTTGTTCCTGTTCGGCCACCCCTCAATGTACATTGGTTATTGACTGGATTTTTTGGCTACGGCTCTGTAGTTAAACATTAATGTATATTTAAAAAAAAAAAAGGATGAATAACAGCCGATTCAGATGCCAACAGCAATAAATTATGCCTCCCTGTTATGGAAACAATTTAAGTTTTATTCATCCATCAATCCATCCAGAAAAATATAGATTAATTGACGGGGTTTTTCTTACAGATACATCAGTGATTATCTTCATTCAAAAGCAGCAAAATCAAATACTTATAAGGGTAGGCTTAAAACTTTCCTTTTTGATAAATCTTATAGTTAGAGTGGCTCATAGGGACCGTGTTTTACCGTTCTGCTTAATTCTATCTCTATTCTCCCATTCTGCAAACTTTGTTAGTTCAATATCTATCGTTATGCTCTCTCTTCTTTCTTCTCATAGTAGCTTCATCTGGTCTGTTCCTATTTTGCTGTGACTCCATCCTGGAGAAAAATATCAGCTGGGCTGTTGCCATCAACGCCTTTGTTTATAGACTTTGGAGCTTGGCCTGTTTTTCAGCATAGTGCTGTTTCACTGATAATAGATTCAACCATATCCCTCAGTTCCACAGTGAAAGTGTGAGGAGAATTAAGACACTCAAGTTTACTTATTGGTTTGTTTGTTCTGCAATATACCAGGTGGTAGAACTACTCTGTAAATTACAAAGAAACGTACTGATATTAGAACATGTAATTAATCATTTTGAATACTTAAGTACTTTTAAATAAACTATTTTGAATACTAAAGTATTTTCAAAAGTGAGTACTTCGATACTTTAATTTGAGTAGACATTTGACTGAGTAACTTTTACTTGTAGTTGAGTAAGATTTGACTATGAGAAGTAATATTTTTACTCAAGTACTACTGTTGAGTACTTTATCAACCACTGGTGCTCTCTTCATCCTCTGACATGTGAACTGGCTCGGAGCTCGTCGGTCTGGTTGTGTGTTTCCTGGATGCGGCCGCCTGTGGGGCTGGTTGACAGTTGCCTTTTGTATTTCTGCTTCTGTCTCCTTGAACCCCAGCCGGCCTCGGCAGATGGCCGCTCACACTGAGCCTGGTTCTGCTGGAGGTTTCTTCCTGTTAAAAGGGAGTTTTTCTCTCAACTGTTGCTATAAGCATGCTTAGTGTGAGGGATTGCTCTCAAGACAATGAGTCGATGCAATCAGCTGCTTTTCCTTGGATAGAAAAGTTTGAATCACTTTGACTGTATGATCTGGTGAACTTTAAAGTGCCTTGAGATAAGATGGGTTGTTAATTGGCGCTATATAAATAAACTGAATTCAAATTTAATTGAATTAAAAACAAATAATTAAAAAACATGATTTTAATTAGTGTTTTCTTATTCTGATTTTCTCTTAGAGGATCCATCCATCCATCCATCCATCCATCCATCCATCCATCCATCCATCCATCCATCCATCCATCCATCCATCCATCCATCCATCCATCCATCGCAGTCATTAAAATTCATAAACCTCATTTTTATTAGAGGTTGACATTTGATTTTCAAAACATAGGTCAGCAAATGTGTAAAAATGAACTGAGTTTTGTCTACATTTTTTTTAGTTCTTAGATATAAATATACTAAAATAAAATAATAAAAGCATGTTCCTGAAAGATAACTTTACAGAGGAGCTGCTTAGTTAATTCTTTTGTAAATGAAAAAACACTTTTCGCGTGGCAATATGTCTCTAAAGTGCAAAACATTCCTGCCGATTGTGTGAACTTCTCTACTGTGTCTGTTGCTCCTTAGATCAGTACATTCTCAGTATGATGCTGCCTTTCATTCATGTGCTTCATTGCAGGGGTGGAACGGCCACATGAGGAGCTCTCCCTGATGTTCGTCGGACATTCATCTTTGTCCACGGTTGAAGCAGATCAATACACATGGAAGAATCTTCTCCCCTGAAGCAACCTGACGGCTTCAGAAACTCTTGCGGCTTTTATATCATAAATTTCAAACCAATTTCCTGAGGCTGCTCCACCAAGATCCTTATGATCACCTTCTAATGAGCTTGATATTCTTACTTAGCTTATTTGTCCAAAGAGGACTTCTACAGTTTATTTATGTGGCTCAGCTTATTTAGTTACTCAGCTTCTTATTTATCTAGAAGCATTCTGGTAGTTTAAGCTTCCAACAAATGATCTGATTGCACCTCAGGTAAACCTCAGCTATTTTAAAACAAGCTTAAAAGAAAGAGTGAAGGGGAAATTGCTTGATAGAATTGGTTAATATTCTGTGATATAGGTTTAATTATGAGTTCCTTTATTCTTGATTAACCCAAACCCCTCTAAGGTTCGTATTTGTTGATGTTCTTTATGTGAGTGTTTGGCTCCCTTTAGTGGTTACCTTGAGACAATGTGTTATAAAATTCCTTATACGATGTTTTACCCAGACCGTTTGAGAAATATACAGAACTAAATATATATATATACTTTTTTAAAACATTTTTCATTTTTTTAATCATTTTTATTTGTTACAGCTGATTTTTTTTATTCTGTTTTTAATGGAATGGAATGTAAACTTTAAAGCCCAACTGTATATGGAGTAAATTTAATATGAGCATTGTTGCTACTGATATAGACTGTCTCTGCGAATGCATTTGCAAAAGAGCTCCAGGGAAATGCAATAATTGTTGGTAAATATGACTTTTAAGGGGTAAAACAACAACAACATAAAAACAAAACCAGTTTTGGTCTTTCATCCTGAACATCTGAGAGTTAAAGGTAAAAGGTAGCCTCAAAAGAAATCCTAATTCTTTATGTCTCAATATAATATAATTAAACATGATATAATATAATTTAATACAACATACTAAATTATATTAAAATATATTTTATTATAATATATTGTTAGAAAAAGAGACAAGTTGGATCAATTAGATCCAATCATTATATTTATATCTAGATTAAATTTAGGAATGAAAATGCTGCCAAACTTCGCTTAAACACTTCATTGGACAATTTGAGTATTTCAATTTTCTGATTGGCTGTGCTTTAGCATACAGAAATTTAAAAACTATGTCCCTCTGTATTCATATATCTCAACATTGTCTTTAGTTAGAGAGAAAATGTACCGAAAGCAATTCATTTATCAGCATGATTGATGAAATATCGATTTAAAACAGGTAATAGTCCCTTTGCGCCAAAGTTTACAACCACCAATCAGAGGCCGCGCTCTGGCGTGTTGCTAAGCAGATTATGTTAATATATGAAATGCAGCCATCTCTGCAGCTACCATTCTGAGGTAAGAACAACTTGTGCGTTTTCCACAAAATGTAAGATTTCAGACGATTAAATTGAGATCATGTTCGTAGCTCGTTTGTACGAAGATGTTTATGTTTTTCCAAATTAAAATATCGGGTTGTTTTTGCGCATATCCAGCGGCGAATAATCTATTTATTTTGTGTAGGTCTCTTTGGATGTAGCTGTTGTTGTTAGTCCCTCCCAAAATGGAGCCTGTTCTTCCTTGTTCAACGGCAGACTCCAAGGGCTGGGCGCAACTAGAAATGGGGGACGGGTGGGTTTAGCCAAATATTTTGGTCCTTATTGGATTAAAAATGACATTCGTTTGTAAGTGGATAATAAATGCAGTTTTCTGCGATGTGATAAGTTGACTTAGTCGGACTGTGCGGCCTTACTTCGGGGCTACACGGCTGTATTGGGGATGTCGCTGCGCAGTAACTGCCCGGGTTCCCACAGCGCTGCTTTCTGTGGTATGGTCCGGTTGGGACCGACAACCTGCGGGGTTAAAATAGGGGGGGAAATTAACATTTTATTGATTATACCAACTGCGTTTGTTGGCAAGATCCGATAATATGTGATTTTTCAGTAGAATTCCGGTCTGTTTTAAGATGCCTTTTTCCTGGGCGGCCTGCTGATCAAACCGGCCTTTTTCTGCCAAACGTTCCCCCGCTGAGAGGCTAATGTGTCCGCTCTGTCCACGCAGGAACACACCGGCTTATATGGGCGATCACAACCTGTCATTGGACCCCATTAGATAATAAATACAATAGGTATCTTATTCCATTCAGAACGGTACACAGATAGACCTTTATATGAAATACAGATGGCATAAGAAAGTAGTTAGAAAAAGTTGAGTAATTCCCTGTTAGTTTTTTTTTCATGCTTGATTCTTTACCTTAGTATTTAAAAAATTACATTTTGTAATTAATCTGACTGATTTATATAAAAAGGCCTTTCACCATAGTAACCAGAGCCTTGGCCTAATCAAAAACGTATATTTAAAGCTTAATTGACAAGGTTAAACTCATCCACATCATCTCAGTTGAATATAAGCCTGGACTTTGACTAGGCCATTACAAAACTTTCACATGTTAAATTGTTCAGCGATTCCCCTAGAGATGTGCTTTGTAATATTAAACTGTTTCATAACATGGATGTGGCTGAGTTAAAGGTCTGGACCCTGTTTTTGGTACAGAACGAAACTTTTTGTTCCATAAATTATGACAAGTTGCCCTGGTTCTGGAGCAGGAAATCAGTAACAAATCATGATATTATCGTCACCATTTTTGGATAAACAGATCTTATTGACTGTGATGATGTCTTCCTTTATGAGTTCTTTCAGCCTACTTCATGTTGTCAGACAGATTCTATTAAAGTAATTCAAATTTTTGTTGAACTATATATATATATATATATATATATATATATATATATATATACATAGAAAAAAATCAAAAATAGCTAAAGATTTTGTGGTAGTTTGACACATAAAGCACATGGAAATACTGCAGATTTATTAGTTTTGCTGTAAAATATTGAAAGAAGATAAGATACATCTTTAGAAAAAGTTTGATGTTCATTTTTACAATGAACATGTATTTCAATTTCCTTGAACCTTTTTTTGTTTTACATTTTTGTTTGTTTTTAGGAAATGTCCCCTTCTTAAAGATGTTGAATTTTATTTTACTTTTTAAAGTTTTTTTGTACGGCTGCAGCTAGGGCTGAAACAATTACCATAATCGGATTAATCCTGATTAATCGATAATTGAAATAATTTTCAGCTGATTTAGTAATCGATTAAACGTTAACTGGAGTATAGAGACTGTAAACAATTCCTTTAGCTTACAGAGGAACCCACTTATTACAGAATTGTAAAAAAAAAAATATATATATAGAAACATTTTTCATTTAAGATTAAAAAAATGTTTTCATCCCTTAATATGCTCTATCCAAAATTCCTCAAGTGGAAAAGTTTAAGTTTCATGTGGTTTAAGTTTGTAAAAAAAATCTTTTGTAAGGAACATTTTGCTATCTGATTATTAATAATAATAATAAAAAATAATAATCAACATATTAATCAATTTGCAAAATAATCATTAGTTGCAGCCCTAGCTGCTGTACAACATTAGAGTCATATGTCAAGAAACTGCAGAATAACTGAAACTTCTGTTGAAATCCAACTTAAGACATAGTATTTATGTGTGATACCATGAATGTAGAGCAGAATCATTTGTATGTCTTTACTCTGTTTGCTTTTAAATGAACATTTAATTTAGTTAATACCTCCTTTTACCAGCTGTCATTGCTTTTCATAGCTTACCTTACTAGGATGAACCCAACAAAACACTGAGTTTTTCTGTGATATCTCCTTTTTAACCCAATAGAGCCATGTGATGGCAAAGAATCAATAGAAAATCAAGCAAAGCTCATGATTTCAACCGATCTCCCGATTCATATATTTCTTTATAATGTTTTATTTAACAAGGCGGAGCTTTAAAAGCTGGAATTGTGAATTCATAACATCCCAAATCTATTCAGTTGGTTTTTGGCAGCATTACCACCAGATTAACATGTGTTCATGTAAGAATGACAAATACCTTGGGTGTTTTAGGCATCCCACTGCGTCCCTGGAGAGGATCAAGGTGGATGGTGAAGGGCCTGTTAGGCTGCAGCCATGGAAACCAAGCAGGAACCATCCGCCGTGTGGAGCCAGGCGGTCAACAGCGACTCAAACAATTCAACACAGGTATAAAGTCAGACAGCTTATTTAACTTCAGGATATTACAAGAAAATCAGGCTTAGTCGTAGTTACAGCTGTTACTGTTACAGACCCCCCCAGCAGCAGGTGAAGCAGAGAGGTTAATAATGTGGTGATTCAGGTCACCTTTTAGCTACAAAAGTTAATGCGTTTCACAGGATGCAGACGCTTTTAAAGGGTTTGTGTTGCAGGTGCATTTCGAAGGCAGCACTGTGGCCCAGATTGTGTACAGCGGCGATCAGGCGGAGCGGGCGGAGCAGCAAGTGGTCTATACAGCAGAGGGGAACTCCTACGCCTCGGTGGAGTCTGCAGAGCACACTTTAGTCTACATTCACCCTGCAGATGGTTCTCAGGTAAAATAAGGCTCCTTTCTTTGACAAAGAAGAGTTAAACCTTAGGTCAGAGCAGACTAAAATATAACATCCAGAACTACCTCTGTCGAATTTATTCTTTATTTCAACTGAAGTTTTGAAGCTTATTTTTTTCATCAGACTGTGTTTTCTGATCAGCCACAAGTGGCTTACATCCAGCAGGATGGCACAACTCAGCAGGTAGGTCCTCCTTGGCCTTATCCCACTTGCTGTGTTGCTCTTTTTTTGTTCACAAACTCATATTTGATCAAATGTTTTCCCCCTTCAGGTGACAGTTCTCCTGCCTGGTGGACAGAACGTGAACGCTGCCAACCTGCATGTTCTCAGTAATGTGGCCGATGCTCCTCAGGCCATTCTAGAGCCTGTTTCCCAGGTAACAATTATTGTTATCTGTGAAAAAGTCGAGTTCCTCAAGAAATTAAAAATGCATTCCAACAAAGTCTAAGATGTAAAATTTAGGTCGTCTCCATCTCACTTTCCCACACAGGAGCAGCTTTCCAACTCGCTGACAGATATGGGTGACATGGCAGAGCCGGCCAGCAGCCCGCTTGGAGCCACGGACTCCACAGACGACTCGGACGAAGTGGAGGACGAAGACTCGGAGATGGACGACTGGGAGCTGCGACACCCTCAGCCGTTTGACCCCCACACCCTCTGTGAGTAAAGCTCTCCATCGCCAGTGTTCTGTCAGATCAGCATACCCAAGTCAGTACGAATGTGCAAGATGTCAGATTAGTGTTTATCCTTTTTAGTTTCGTAAGAAAAATTGACTTTAAACTACCTCGACGGGCGTGTATCCCTTTACTCATTTACAACAAAAAAAATTTAAAGTCAGATCGTAATACGCTTCAAGAAACACCAAAAAGTAAGTAATTAAATATTTTTTTTTACATGACTAAAGGGATACACGCCTGTCGGGGTAGTTTAAAATAAATTTTTCGTACAAAACTAAAGGGATAATCTAAAGGTATATGGTATATATCATGGGTTTGCTCATCTGACAGAACACCGGCACAATTCCACTTCACTTCCACCTGAAGTTTCTCATTATTTTTATGATTCTGCCGACATCATTTTCAGGAATAAACCGCTGCTATTTCATACACCTATTAAAACTTATAGTTAAAAATGTTTCCTTGTTTTTATCTGCTGTGTCTCAGGGTGTGAGGAGTGTAACAGTGCCAACCCGTCAGACTGTCCCCTACACGGCCCCCTGCATCCCATTCCCAACCGGCCCGTGTTGTCCAAAGCCAGGGCCAGTCTGCCTCAGATCCTTTACATCGACCGTTTCCTGGGAGGAGTTTTCTCCAAGAGGCGCATCCCTAAACGCACACAGTTCGGCCCTGTGGAGGGACCACTGGTTCCACAGAGTGAGCTGCAGGAACACTACTTTCAGTTAAAGGTAAGTAAGAAAGACCAGGCCAGGGAGCATTCAATTCGTGCAGGCTGTAAAGACATGGCTTCTCCTGTGAGGTAGAGGCAGAGGGAACTTCATGGTGGTAAAAAAAACATTTACTCAGCAGGGCCCTGTTACTGTTTATATGAAAGCAATGACTGAACTAGAAAGCATACATCAGGGAGAGAGCCTCACCTGGACTGTAAAGCATAGAGGTGGAAGTATCATGGATTGGTTGCCCTGTTTGACTGCAGTATCTGGCTAGTTTCAGTTTGGTAAAAATAAAATGAGTAACTTGATTTTTCTTTACATTTAGCATAATTTATTAATCAGAAAAAAACCCAGATATTCAGAAAGAACGAAGCAGAGGCCCGGTTTTCATAATTACTCCTCAGAACGGGAAAGACAAGAAAACTTAGCTTTACTGAACAAAGACAACAACAGACAGCAGAGACGATCTTAAGAGAAGCAATAAAGACAGTTTCCATGTCGCCATAGCAACAATTCATTTTGAGTCTTATATTGTGTAACTTTCCCTGGGGTGTGAGCAATATACAGGGAGGTAGATTTAGATTCAGACTCGGGGAGCCTTAAAAAAGCATCAGTTGCTAAGTTTCTATGCGTTTTATTTCCCAGATCCGATCTAAACCATGGTTGATTGGAAATGAAAAATCTCTGTTTACATGACACTAAAGGAAATAATCCAACCTTGACATGTTTACATGACTTGTACCAAGTGGGCAATCAGATTTAATCATCTGAACATGAACAGAACTGTCGACTTTTATGGAAATGCTTTAATAGTAGAAGAAGAAGCTGCTTGTTTATTAAAGAAACTCTTTTCGCTCATCCTCAACTTTAGCTACTCTTAGTGCCTGCCTCTCACATTTCTTTTTCTTCAGGTCATCAGTTGTGTCTGTTCATGTGTTTTTCTTTTTTGGTTTTGTTTTGTTTTTTTAATGATGGACCTTCATCTAATCATACTTTTTATTTTGGTGGGAATTTAAATTAAAGGACCAGCAGTATGTTATGTTAATGCTCCTTCGCTACAGGGGTAGGAGGCAGGATGGCATGTTTGCTCCTCCACCAAGGAGGACCAGGAACCAGTGGATGAAGTAAAGGGGAAAAAATATCTTTACTCCTAAAATGTATTGTTTTTTTTACTCAAAAGATCCGAATGTGTCTGTAAATGTACACCAATCGCCGAATCAGATCAGAATCTTCAGTCTAATATGTTTATATATGGTTCAAATAGTATTTTATTTTATGTCCCTGACACAATGGTAATATGATGCTGATGGTTTACTGATAACTAAAACTCCAAAATTCAATCAAAAGCAGAGTATTACATTTAATCAATAAATAGGAAAAATCAGACTCCACAGACTAGCAGTTTGGGCTACTTGTGCTCACACAGTCCTCATAAAAACAGTCAATAGATTCTCTGTGGGGTTCTGGTCAGTCAGCTACAGCAGCATCACGGTTATGGACAAGATTTGACGACCCAGATAAAAACATTTGGCCTCATGCAACAACATTTTCATATTCTCGTAGTAAATTTAACTCACGAACACATCACATTAGATTAAACAAACCTTATTACAGGGTTTCTGCGCGTCATTAAAAATGATTTAAAGTCATTAAATATTTTTTTTTTTAAATTAAGGCCGGAAATGCATTAAAATTCATTAAATGTGATGCTTTATTTAGGAAAAAAAATTATAAAAACAATTTATTAAACAATATATATATTTGCAAATATATCGGATATATTTGCACGAACTGCTTCCAGTTGATCGTAAAGGCGTATGTTCGGAAAAGAAGCTCGTTGCGGAGAAAAAAAGCCTAGAGAATGGAGAAAATGCTAATTTCAACAAAAGTGGCTGGATATTGAGGAATTGCAGCCTGCCGACGGAAAAGATGAAGAAGGAATTTGCCGTGTATATATGAGAGTCATGGGTATTTGTTGATGGCATTGAAATTATTTCTAAGAGCATTCAAAGAGCATTAAAAATCATTCCTGTATAAACCCTGTATTTACTTCAGAAGCACTCCACCTGTGCGTAAGTCAGCACTCGTTCCGAGAAATATAAATCTGCATAATAATTACCGCTCCAATAATGCCATAAGGGTACATCTTCTCATGCTTCGGTGAATGAACACCCAGGTTTTTATTTCTGGAAAAAAAGGGTGTGACACGTTTGCCTCTGGTGTAATTAATTAATTTACTTAACATGTTTTACTCTTGATGAAATAAATGACTATTTTTTTTTCCCTCTGTATTCAAAATATTTTAGATGTATCTGTATCTAATGAGAGAGAAATTATTGTACCTTTAATTGATTCACGAATTGGTTTTCAGCTTTGCATGCTGGATGCAGAGAAGGAAGGAGAGAAGGCGAGCGACGTGTGGCTGGACCTTTCTGATGAGGAGAGCTGCAACTGGATGATGTTTGTGAGGCCGGCACAGAATCACCTGGAGCAGAACCTGGTGGCCTATCAGTACGGCTCTGAAATCTTTTACACCACCATCAAACACATCCAGCCCAAACAGGAGCTGAAGGTCGGTGAACGCCGGATGGAAAAAAAGGAGAAAAAGAAGAAGAGAGGAGCGAGAAGTTCCTAAGGTCGGTGCTTTGTTTTGCAGGTGTGGTATGCAGCCTCGTATGCAGACTTTGTGAATCAGAAGATCCACGATGTTACAGATGAAGAGAGGAAAGGTGACTTTGCTTGACGCCGCCTGGCCTAGAAAACAGCATTTCTCTGTCCTAAAGCACAGCTTGCCTTGTTTGTCCAGCCCTCCAGGAGCAGGAGTGGAACTGGCCGTGCTACGAGTGCAACAGGCGCTTCGTGAGCTCGGAGCAGCTGCAGCAGCATCTTAACATGCACGACGACAAGTTGGGCTCCATTTCAAGGTGAAAACATGTTTGTTTGTTTGTTTGTTTTCCCCCTTTTCTGTGAGCATCACAGTCGCACCAACTGATCTGTGTCTGCTCTCAGATCAAGAGGCCGCGGCAGAGGGAGGGGCAGGAAGAGGTTTGGGACGGGGAGGAGACCAGGGCGCCCTCCGAAATTCATCCGCATGGACACACCTGTAGACACCAATGGGAACAAGGCAGGAGTAAGAAAACTCTTTTGATTTGTTTTGTGACATTTAAACCTCTTAAACCAGAAGAGCTAAATTGTTTTTAATGTGAATATAAAGAAATAAATGACATGCAAATACAAGTAAGGCTGGTATTGACTGCAGCAGTTATTAAAAATGTGTAACCAACAGAAAGTTGTTATATAAGGTTAAAAGCAAAAGATGAAAGATGGATTTCTATCTGACTAACATCATGGTAAAAGTTTTCACTGTTTAAATCAGGAGCTTCTGGAGTTAACAGAGAAAGCGTTGGAGGAGCGGGAAGAGGGAGCAGAGAACGGGCTGAAGGAAGTGGACATGGAGCCTGAGGTGGAGGCTGGGACTGAGGACGAGGGTCCGCTGGAACCCCTGACCGAGGAACCGCTCCTACAGCCAGAGGCAGAGTCCGCTAATACGGAGCTGCCTGTTCCACTAAAGGAGGACCCGGCACAGAGCAGCCAGCCAGAATCCCACCTCACATCCCAGGACATGCACCGTGCAAAGAAAATCCGGGTGAGGCTGTAGATTGTTTCCTGTTGAGCCATTTAAAAAAAAGAAATCTGTTTTTACGCTTCACAACGCTGTGTCTCTCCTTCCTCAATGTGTGCTTCCCTCGCAGACGGATGAACAGGTAGGTAAAACCTGGAGGATGACATGGAAATATTTTTTTCTACATGCGACATGGATCTTCCCACGCTTTAGACTTCTCTTCTGTTTTTAAGCTGAGAGAAGCCAACAAAAACAACCCAAACCCTGCAGGTTCTGTTACTGATCTCCTGCTCTTTGCGCCCAGAATGCAGCCCTGCAGCACCTGTTCATCAGGAAGAGTTTCCGCCCTTTCAAATGCACGCTATGCGGCAAGGCCTTCCGGGACAAAGACAAGCTGGATCTGCACCTGAGGATCCACGGCCGTGACGCCTACACCTTCTCCTGCCACTTGTGTTGCAAAAGCTTTGTGAGCGACTCTGCTCTGGAGGACCACCTGCTGATGCACACGGAGAACCGCTCCTACTCCTGCCTTCTGTGTCAGGAGACATTTGAGAGGTTGGAGCTGCTGAAGGACCATGTGGACGTCCATTCTGTGAATGGCTGCTACCCCTGTCCAACCTGCAAGAAGACTTTCACCGACTTCATGCAGGTTGGTAGTAATAAGACGTTGATTCTCTGTTTTTTTGTCAGCCCACAGATCTGGTGATGCTCTGGAAAGTTGTAGAGCAGCTGTCTGTGCATATTTGAGCTGGTTTGGATTCAGGAGGATGTTCTAGAATCATTCCACTGTGGAAATGAAAACATTAAGATGCTTTGTTAAAATGCATCCATGCTTAAAATGAACCATGATGATTTAGGGATCTGTGAACAATTGTGCTCCTCTGTAGGTGAAGAAGCATATCCGCTGCTTTCATTCAGAGAAGATCTTCCAGTGCCCTGACTGTGAGAAGGCCTTCTGCCGACCGGACAAGCTGCGGCTCCACATGCTGCGACACTCTGACCGCAAGGACTTCCTGTGCTCAACATGCGGCAAACAGTTCAAGGTGACCTTCAGCAGGATTAGCGGTTAGCTCTGACACAGCAGACTTTTACCTTTAATCTATGTTTCCTCAGAGAAAGGATAAGCTGCGTGAACATATGCAGCGCATGCACAACCCGGACAGAGAGGCCAAGAAGTCCGACCGGACCCACCACTCCAAAGCCCATAAAACCAAGGTCCCCGCCACCGATCTGGACAGCTTCGTGTTCAAATGCAGACTGTGCATGATGGGGTTCCGGCGCAGAGGAATGCTGGTGAGCCGCAGCTCTCAGAACTCGGCACGTTGCTGATTTCCACCTCGCTCGGCTCTGACTTTGCGTTTGCAGGTGAACCATTTGTCCAAACGGCATCCGGAGATGCGGATCGACGACGTGCCTGAGTTAACACTCCCCATCATCAAACCCAACAGGGATTACTTCTGCCAATATTGCGACAAGGTTTGTTTCACTCTGCGTTTGTGAAGTTGGGTCACAAAGCAGCGTGTTAATGATGTCTGAATGATGTCTGCAGGTTTATAAGAGCGCCAGTAAGAGGAAAGCTCACATCCTGAAGAATCATCCAGGAGCAGAGCTTCCCCCCAGCATCCGGAAGCTGCGCCCGGCTGCTCCTGGCGAACCAGACCCAATGCTGAGTACTCACACCCAGCTGAGCGGAACCATTGCAACAGCCCCAGTCTGCTGCCCACACTGTGCCAAACAATACAGCAGCAAGGTTAGCAGGTCTCGATCAGGCACGTCTGTTCGGTTTGAAGCAGTTCTTAACGAATAAGGGGCTTGTTTTTCAGACTAAGATGGTCCAGCACATCAGAAAGAAACACCCGGAGTTCGCAAACAGCATCCAGGCATCTCTGACTGCGGCAGTCATCAGCAGCGCTCCCACAGTCATCAGCGCTGAGGCTGCCCCTGCAGAGGCTGTAGTGGTGAGAACAAACATTTAAGATTAGATTCAGTGGTTCATTGAATGCAGGTTTTAGACAACAGGATAGATAATTAGATCTGGAAATACTATTTGTCTGAAATGTATTAGGTTTTTTATATACAAATAGATAATAATTGAATTAAATGTTTTTAGTTTTCTTTGCAGAATTGATTTAAACCTCTTTTTTTTTCGTTTTCAAGAAGATTTTAATTTAAGTACCTCCTCAGTTAAACAATCATATAGACCCGGTTTGACTTATCAGACTTTCTCTCCATGCCTCTGAATCCTGGCTCAGGAGGGAAAGCCAGTTGTTAAACAGATTCCTGGTGGTTTCATATAACTTTAGCCACTGATGTAATATAGCAGAAACTTGAAGCAGAAATTATGGATCCACAAAATGTCTCAACATAATTTGCTGTTTAGACGGTTGGTTCTTTAGCCGTTCACAGTCAAATCAGAAGATTGGAAACCCTAAATAAGAATCTCATGAAAAATGTAATAAAAAAGATGGATTTCTGTGAGCTAATTAAAGAAACGGATGGCAGTGTTGGACAGATATGACAGCTATGAGCTGTTAGTACCTTTGGTCTGATGCTCACTGTTTTCCCTCTGTTCCTGCAGCCCACCGACCTGCTGACCCAGGCCATGACGGAGCTTTCTCAGACGCTGACCACAGACTACCGCACCACACAGGGAGACTACCAGAGGATCCAGTATATTCCAGTGTCGCAGGCAGGAGGTGGGCTGTCACAGCCGCAGCACATTCAGCTACAGGTGGTCCAGGTAGCTCCAGTAAGTAAAAAAAAAAAACAGCAAATTCAGCATATCCAAAAAAGGGACATCTGGTTGTCATGATGAAAAACTGAATGACTTCCTGTCATTTCAATGCACTCCCTGCTCTCTGCAGGTCTCCTCTCCTCACTCCCAGGCTCAGGCGGTGGATGTTAGCCAGCTGCAGGATCCTCACGGCTACAGTCAGCACTCCATCCATGTCCAGGTCTCTGACTCGTCAGGCACCGCACAAGCTGCCGCACAGGTAAACCAGCACAATCTGCCTTTTTCTGCCTCACTGTTGTCTATGTTTCCTTTCAATAACATCAAAGATGGTTTCAGGGAAGCAGCCAGCCTCTAAGCCCCGCCTCCCAGCAGCCCAGCCAGGAGATGAGCCCAGCCCAGCTGACCCCCGTTACCTTAGCTCAGGGTCAAACCCTCCAGACCAGCAGCACCCAGCAGGGGGCAGTGCAGCACGCCTACATCCCTGGAAACTGGAACTACACACGATACCGTGAGTCCCTTTAAATCTCCGCCTAAGTTCTTTTCGTGTCGTTTTTTTTTTTGTTTTTTTTGTTTTGTTTTTTTAAGAGATGACCTCTGACTGTTACAGCATCTGAGATCCAGATGATGACGCTACCTCACGCACAGTATGTGATCGCTGAGCCCAGCACGTCGGCAGGCGGCGGGAGCCAGGTGAAAACGGTGAGTGATGAACAGAGAAAGGTCAGGATGGCTTTGGATTCAAACATACATCTAGCCTTTTTGAGTTTGGTTTTCTTTTTCAAGTTAACATAATGGTATATAGTGTGTAACCTAGAGAAAGAAACAACTAACATGCAGATAAACATGGTTTAATCATATTTTGCCGGACTGATCTGAGCATATCGATGATGACGTTAGAGAAGCAGTTTAACAAGGAAATCTAAAAAGCATCAAAATTGTCAAAAGATGTGTATTAGCATTCTTTATTGAGTTTAGGATAGAAATAAGTAATTTTAATACCATAATTACACTATTTATGGAGAACCGGATGTAAATCTGTTCGTGCAGGACAGATCATGCTTCCGGGCAGTGACAGGGCTCCCTAGAGCCATGTCGGAAGCATTGATATATCTCATGTGTTTTTTATCTGCCGTTATTTTCAGATGTATCAGATGTATGTGATCAACCTTATTCAAGTGGAATTGTAATTTGATATATTTCATGAAAAAACTGCAGTTGTGAATCATTTTTTTGAATTAGCATAATATGGACATAGTTTTTGCACATTTGTAATGGAAATGCAGCCGGTCAGAGAATGGGATACTCTAGGAACACGGGTGTAAGTAGCAATCAGGAATGATTATTACAACATTAATACAGTTTACCTCAGGATTTATGGGAAAAAATTAAAGTTTTAACAGATTCTTTAGAGTCTGCTGCTAAACCGGAAATCACCTAAACTGTAGCTTTAATTTTTTAAAAGGTCTTGGGTTAAAAAACATGATATATCTCTTATTTTCCACTGACACTTCCAGCTCCATCTCCAGGCTTTAATTCAATTCAGTTTATTTATATAGTGCCAATTTACAACATGTGTCATCTCAAGGCACTTAATGGAGACAATTCAAACAGATTATGCAGTCAGATTGATTCAGTTTTCTATCTAAGGAAAACAAGTTATTTGCATCGACTTATTGACTTGAAGGCAATCATTGATACCAAGCATGGTTGTAGCGACAGTGGAGAGGAAAACTCCCTTTTAACAGTGAGAAACCTCCAGCAGAACTAGTCTCAGTGTGAGCGACCATCTGCCGAAGGCCCACTGGGGTTAAAGGAAACACACAGCCAGGCAGACGAGCTCCAAGCCAACTCTCATGTCAGAGGATGAAGAGAACACATAAAGTTAGTCACAGTCAGAGAAACAGGAATACAATGAAAAACGGGCCGATCTCCAACATCTATAAACAAAGGTGTTGATGGCAGCAGCACATCTGATATTTCTCTCCAGGATGGTGTCGCAGCTAAACAGGAACAGGTCAGATGAAGGTACTATTAGAAAAAGCAGAGAGAGCAGAACGTTAGAGATTGAACTAACAAATTCTGCAGAATGGGAGAATAGAGATAAAATAAAGCAGAAAAAGGGTTCCCTATGTCCTCCAGCAGTCTAAGCCTATAGCAGCATATCTATAGAGATAGCACTGGGCAACCTCAGCCACTCTCACTATAAGCTTTATCAAAAAGGAAAGTTTTAAGCCAAGCCTTAAAAGTAGACACAGTGTCTGCCTCATGGACTAAAACTGGTAGATGGTTCCACAGGAGAGGAGCACGATAACTGAAAGATCTGCCTCCCATTCTACTTGTAGAAATTCTAGGAACCACTAGTAAACCTGCAGATTGAAGGATGATTTATACTTTCGACACTTGGTCATCTGCGTAGGGTTTTGCAGTGAACGCAGAGACCGCGATTGCGGAAAACGACTAGTGAAGTTGGATCAGTTAGAGAAGCGAGGTCCACAGCAACGCTGGGACCCTTTTTCAACCTGGATCCCCGCTCTTTTTCTCCCTCATGTCCCTCAGTTGTTGGACAAACTTGCCCCACTTCCTCACTGCCTCGGCCGTATCTAGACCCACAGCTAGTTCGTGGTTTTCCCCTTTTGTGTTGTGGCGTGGAATAAACATAGCACAGACCATGCTTCAATATTGAGCATAAATCCAAAATGTCTGCATCATATCTGTGAAAAGTTCACTGCGACACACTGCTGCAGGATTATAACCAGCCCTTGAGAGCGATGTGCTCTGTTAGGAACATAAGGAAGAATCAGATCTCTGATATAAGATGGAGCTTGGCCATTTAAGGCTTTACTGTATATGTGAGAAGGAGGATTTTAGTTGTTCAGCTTTAGTTGTTCAAAGACAACTTTAGGATAAAGATATATGAGCGATGTTGGAGGAAAATGCAGATTTGCACTTAAGTGCCATCAGAGAGCAATTATATATTGCTTTATTACTTAGATACGATTAGAACAGCTCGAATTGTTTTAAAGCAGAGACAATAGCATAGTAGAGCTGTGATACCATCATCATACACTCATTTTAAATTTTCTTTTTTCAAGAACATCCCAGTAAAGACAGAAAAAGCCACTGGAAAAACACTTTAAGTGTAAGACAAGTATTTAAGTGATTAGTCATGTTTTTCTAAAGTCTCTTTTTCACTCCTGCAGACGCACTTCGTTATCTCAGAGGGTCAGAGTGAGCTGGACACGAAGCAAACGGCTCCTCAGAACACAAACCAGGAACAGGCGGATCCCCTGGAGCAGCAGCCGGCGAGCCAGCAGGCCACCACGCAGTACATCATCACCACGACAACCAACGGCAGCGGAACCAGTGAAGTCCACATCACTAAGCCGTGACCCGATTCTGCATGGAAACCCGTTCTGTGGAAAGTTTGCTGGCCTGCTCATGAAGAACTGAGGCGTGGATTTGTGTTCCTGTAGCGCCGAAACGCTTCCAGCACAGTTTTATGTGTCTGAATGATGAGCTTCTAGACTGTATCAGTAAAAAAAAAAAAAAAAGAAAAAATAAAACCTGATGTTTCTATTTTAGGAGATTATTATAAAAATGAGGAGGAACCCCCCCCCACACACACACACACACACTACTTTTAACAACACTGGAAAAGTAAACTGAATAGTAAATTTGTTTTTTTTTATTAATAAAACAATTTCATTATACCTTCTTTTAGGGACGGGAGCCACTATATGCAGAGGCGTCAAAGTATTAATGTTTATTACTCAAGTAGAAATAAGAAACGAAGGATTAAAGTAAAGATTTGTCTAAGAATAATTACTCCATTGAAGTATACCGGTAGATAGCCCATATTTCTACTTAAGTAAAAGAACAAAGTATTTGTACTTTGTTACTTGGCAACTATCTATGTTACAAAGAAAGTGGAGTTTATTTGCACTGACCAGAAAACTCAGCTGAAATGTTACGATCCTGCAGGGATGCTGTCTAATGGAAGTCTTTGCGTAGCATCTGTTGGATTTTACCACACAGTGTTGTTGATACGTGTATATTTTCTCTTTTCAGTTTCCTCTTCGGACGCACAGGACCTTTTTTTAATTTACCAGCTGGATTGTTGTGAGATCATGAAATACAAGTTGGATATTTTATTATCTGAATCTGTTGTGTTTGTCACCAGTTTATTTATAGTAAAATGCTAAAAAAACAAACACGGTTCCTACGTTGTTCTTTGGTTTCATCGTTTTAACCTTTAGACAGTCTGTGGTAAAGATCATAAAGATTAGATCTTTAAATGGTAATTAATCCTAAAGGTTGTTCTCACAGACTGTAGGCGGTTTATAGCCGACTTCCTTCTTGCAGCCAGAAGGCTGTGGGTTTGCCACATCCTAAGGTTTGTGCACCTTCTCCCCATGGGTTCTCCTGGTACTCTGGCTTCCTCCTGCTGCTCAAAGTCTTTCCAGCTACAGTTAATAGGCCTTGAAATTGCTTTTAGATATGTGGGTGTGCATGGATGTTCACCGTGTAGTTTAGGGGGAAACCTGTCCACCCCAGTGGAAAAAGGCATCATCCCTCCCTGCAACCTGCAAGAACAATTTCATAGTCATTAAATCGCTTTTATTCTACTGTTTCATGCCCATGCACTCTTTACTCCTGCTTTTTAACTGGGTAATGGAGATACATTAATCATAAAAGAGCACAAATCTAATATATTAATTTGTTTAATCGTGACTTATTTGTGACACTCTTTTAATCGACTTTGGTTCTGTGTCTTGTTTGGACCTGACATAATGAATAAGACGGATTAATATGATCAATACCTGATAAAACCAGGGAACTGTATTTTGTTTCTGTGGTCTTCCTTGAAATGGCAAAGGGTCAAAACAAAATGTCTCCTGGCAGGCGATTCATCTAAATACCCAAAAAGTTGGAAATTAATGACTAAAACCCTCTTAGGGATGAAACCATCCTTTCTAAAGAATAAACATTACAGCTCTGGAAATGTCAAATATGCTTAAACCAAAACCTGTTACATCTAGTGAATTTATCAACTGCATTATTGAGGCTTTAAAAAAAATATTTTTTTTTTCATCATTCTAGTGCACATTTTCTAAAACCACTGTCCTTACTTTAAACCAAAACGTTTTGTTTTGTCCAGACTTTGTGCTTTTTCAGCTGAAGGATTTAATCCTGAACACCTAAGGCAACAAAAACGTAATTTATCTAGTTGTGATAAAGCAGATAAAACAGTATTTTATGAATGTTGTAATTCACATTGTATTTTTTAATTCTAAACGCTAGAGTGCAGCATGGCTACAGATGGCAGCCATCAGTCCCTCAGGGCTCTGGCACTGACAGTTAAAACTATAAGTTTGTGACTCAGGGCGTTTATCCTGGCTCCTTGTGGGCGGAGCAGGGTTTGTTCTCAGCTCTCGTTTGTCTTGATTAGTGTGTTTAACACATTCCTGTAAGGGTGGAATGTAGGAAAGGGAGAAAAACCCTACCCAGATAGGACAAATCCTCCAGTTGGGCCTGTTTGACTGGCCTGTCGTGTTTAATCATATTCTGAGCAGGTGGACATTGAACGCCTGATGGCTCAGCTGCAGTTTTAACCAGGATGGTTGTATTAGTGTATCTCTCATGCCTTGGGTAATAGTCTCCCACATTAAAGGTCAGAGGGCAGCTGGACAGCAGGAGACAGGAGGCTTGGAGTGGAGCAGTGAACTAATGGGTGATCAGAGGGAGGATGAGGAGGAAGCAGCAGCAGAGGATCAACAGCAGAGGTAGGCAGAGCTTTGGGACTCCCAGCCTCTCAGGGCAGCACTGATAGCTTTACTGTGACTTGACGTAATGGCTCCATGGTGTAAATGTTTCCCAGCCTCCTGGGGCAGAAACCTGTCATCTATCAGCTCACATCTAATCAGGATCAGAGCTCACTTAGTGATTGATTTATCTTCTTTTAAAAGCTTTTGCAGCCTATCTCTTATTTTTAGGTGTGGGGAAGATGTTTAGGTCTAATTCAGAAAGTCATGATAATGCAATAAGAGACTGGGGCATCTCAGCCACCAATGGTGCCTTGTGGAACAAAATTTCAGCAAAGAGAACCTTTTCACCAGCATAGCTGAAGCCACTCCTATTCCTGTACTAAACAAACCACCAAAACTGTTACTGAAGGTTTATTACACAGCAAGGAAATGTTGAATTTGTTGTTTTTATGTAATTGTTGATAGATTGTAATCTTATTTTTTATTACCTTCAATAATGGATGACGTGTAACTGAGTTCTGTTTGTTGAACCTCAGTGTTTCCAAATGTTTCTGTTAGGCATTAGGAGGAAGGAGTGAAATCAGGAACAAGTAAACATAAACCTTAACCCACATGGGCTGTGTGATCTCCTCTCTTCATTCAGGCAGTGCCTTATATAACAGGTCACCTAAGTGGTTTTATTGGGATTTTTTTGTGACAGGAACTAGAGCTCAAATGGTAATTGGAAAAAATGTAAAAATAGATAAACCAAATAAAAATAAAAAATTTAATCCCTAAAGTCTGATTCATATAACCGAAGCTTGTAACAGTGTACAGTCATGTGATTCAAATAAAATATATATTTTTAATAAAATGTAATAAAATCTTAATTAAAAAAATATTTTAAATCTTAAGAATAAGGACCTAATCAATTCTTAAAATGTAAATCGTCACCAAACCATAAAAATACTTGGATGCCTTCATTTTTAAAAATGAAAAGTATGGCACACATCTGTTTTTCACCCCTTTTACCCAGAGCCCTTTGAATAAAATCTCCTGAAAACAACAACCTTTGACTTGTTTAACCAGTAAATAGAGTTCAACTCTATAATTCCAGATCAGCTGTGTCATGATTTGGTGTTGGATTGAGGACCCAAAAGCAGAGGCAAGTTGGCAGAGGTGAATTTAGGTGGGTTTAATGAGGTTCACAGGTACTGAGGCAGGAATCAAAAATCCAACAAAAAATAACAAACAAACCAGAACCAAGGAGACATCAGGGTAAACCAAACTCTAGGAGCCAGGGAGAGACGAGGTAAGCAGACAGACATTAGACGAGGATCCAGCAAACAGGAACTGAAGAGGGGGGGCTTTTAAATGGGACAGAGACAAAGAGAGGGCTAATGAGAGGATTGGAAACAGGTGAGGCCAGAGCAGAAAACAGAGCTAGGGATAGAGGACACAAGAGGGCAGCAGAGGACAACAAATGGAAAACCTTGAAGACAGGCACTAATCAAGAAAACAACAAAATAATAATTAAACACTAAAACAAGGAGCCAAGTAAAACTGAATACTCTAAATAAACATAACAAAACCAAGACTGTGACAAGCTGTTAATCCAAGGCTTTTAGAGACATTTGTTAGAGGATAAACACCATGACAAAGACAAAAGAAGTATGTAGATGGTTAGGTTATTGGAAAAAAAAGAGCAGATATGAAATAATAGCAAACCTAAAAAGATAACAGTAGATTGGTCAGGAAAAGGATCAGGTGAGAAGCCCAGAGGTAATAATGGAGGAGCTGCAGAGATCCACGGCTCAGGAGGGAGAATCTGTGAACACCTATTCATTTTGCTACAGAAGAAAGGCCAGAAAACCCCCTGTTTTTTTATCATGACGCATACTTAAGAAACAGATAACCTGTTAGATCAGAAATCCCATGTGTGGCATAAAATACATATTCTGAAAACATCTTCCTAAACACAACAAATACTTGAAGAGAATGTAACGTTGATGTAAATGTCAACGGGTGGTGGATGTGGTTGTGGACCCAAACGCAGGCAGATATGAGTTTTTGCTGATTTAATGAAAATCCAGAGGCAACAGAAGCAAAGCCCGAAAACAAAATACAGAAAATCAAAAATCAGGAGACGTCACGGAAAACACACATTGGGAGCAAAGAAACAACGAGAAACCAGCAATGAGGAGCTGCACAGGAGGTGTTTGTATGATAGAACAAAGACTGGGTAATCAGCTAAAAGGGAGCAGGAGTGGATAGCAGGAACTAGAAGGGAGCTAGGGGAAAGGACACTGCCACAAGGGGGCAAAAGAGAGTAACTCAAAAAATGCAACGCTGCTTAAATCTAACACAAAATGGAAAAGAAACTGATGACCAACAAAACAGAATGACATAAACAACTGACATCTCAAAATGACATCCAAAGGGAAGAACCATAACAGTAAACCACACATGTCAACAGAAAAAAAACAAAGAATTTAACCAAAAAATAAGAAGAATTGAACAGAATATTTATATTCAGTTAAAAAGGAGCAGGAAGAGGCCGAATTAAATCCTATCCCGATCTGACTCATCCAGCATGTTTCTTTCACAGTTATCCGATAAACTCTTCCTTAAATTCTGCCTCATCCCGACCTATAATTAATAATTCCAAGAGCAAGTTAATAATTATAGAAAATCTCCCCACATATTGATACTGTTACACTAATCATCAACCAAAACTATCTGACTATATTAAATTATGTTACTTTTAAATATCTTAAAATAGCAATTTCTTAATATATGGTATTTAACTGTTTGAAATCACTAGATTAAACTCCTCATTAATCCTGTTCCATAATTGATTTATTGGATCCTTTTGCACCTTTTCCAACTATTTTGTTGTTCCACCTTTTTCTCTTAAAAACAGTACGTTCAGAGAATGTTTTAAATGTTTTTTTTTTCCTTAAAAAAATGTCTGTGTCATTGACTATGATTGAATTTTTGACAATAAAAATGTCAGAATTTGAGATAGATACCGATGGCTGCGGATGTGAGAAAGTATACCAGGATATTCATAGTTTTCATGTCAATATGTCCGCCCAGAGGTGGGTGGGGTGAAACAAAATTGAGCTTTATCTAAAGCAGATCAATGTCCACATATTCTGACTCAAGTAAAAATAAAAAAGTAGCTATTCAAGAAATATTATAAAGTATTTGGTAAAACGCTACTCAAACGTGAGCAACTGATCATAACATCTTACATTTGAAAATTTATATTTTGTCAGAAAAAAAAATGTTTGTGCAAATTTTTATATCATAAATACTAAAATGAAAAACACCGTACCATACTAAGAACAGCCAATAAATAATAACAGATAGAAAAATAGATCTTGGTAGAGAAAGATCAGCTTCTTAAGCAAATATAACATTTATTTTGTTAAATTTTAAAGTCTAGAATTCACTGACGTCCTTCTCTCACATAAACCCATATCCAGTTTAATTTCTACGTATCCATCTAGTTTAAACCGTACTTCTTTGTTTCTCCTTTTCTCTTTTTCAGTTTAATTCAAACACAAAATGAAGGTCAGCCCAAGAATAATAATTTTTGGTCCCAAACTGTGAGGACTCTCTGCTGTTTCATCCCAGTGGCTGCAGTGTGGTTTGCCTGCCAGCTGGAGGCGCTGCCGTACCCCTCTCTGCCAGCAGAGGATATGTGCTGCAGGCTGTTGTTAGTGTGTTTTCTTTGGGCACTTCTGGGAGGGGGGATTTATGCCCTGAAGTGCTGCCTGCGGCCAGGACAGAACTGGGTGAGAAGAGTTGCATGAAAAAGATCGAATATTTTTATTCAAAAAAAAAAAAAAAAAGTGGTGTAGTTTATGCTGTTGTTTTGTTTTAATTAAAGGAGGAACATCCACAGATGAAACAGCAGCTGGTTGAGCCTGAAATCTGCAGAAATCAGTATTCAAGGTGAAGATTTAATGCTTCTAGATTTATTTGTTTTTAATTTCTGATCAGTTTTTTTTTAAACAGCTAAAATGTTTTCCCATTTTTAATGGTTACAAATTGCAGTCAGCTCTCCAGGGTGCCCCCGACGAGCATCAGAGATGTTGAAGTTCCTCTGACCCAGGCACTGACGGACAGTCTGCTGCTGTGTGTGCTTCACGAGCCCCTGCAGGTCCCCTCTGTGTCCCACATCAAGGCTCTCCACTCCAAACTGGAGGTGAGATGAAGAAAACAGCTTCAAGAGGCAAACAGACGCCACAGGCGAAATCTGCACTCCTGTGTTTTTAATCACTCGTTCCGGGCAGATCAGTTTGAAGTCTTTGATGGAAATATCAAAAGGGAAAAGATGTTCCTCTCAGGGTTACACAGATATTCTAGCCCCAGGCAGCACACAAACTGCTGCTCTATATTCTGAATCAACAAGGGCAGCAAGTGGGAGAGATTTAAACATTTTTAAAATCTTACCTGCTTTACCTAAACAAACCCAGAACAGCGATATGTATCCTTCAAACTCCCTCATTCCCTGCAGGTGGTTGCTCACACACTGGAGAAGGTGAACTTTGGACCCGAGGCGATGCCGAAGGAGGTGGGCCGAGGCTCCACGCTGAGAGACAAACTGAAAGTCCTCTGTGCTTACCTGGAGCAGAGGTCAGTGCAAACACTTGGAGAATGCAGCATGAGGGCCCTTTGAGACGCACGGAGTCCTCCTAACAGCAAAATGAAGACATTTTCTGTGCCATGCACACATGTTCACACATTTTTTTTCTTTTCCACATTTAGTCAAATTCTAACCAAAATCTTCACTTTATTTCATTTGCATTTTATATAATTGATCAACAAAACATAGTGGATTGTTGTGAGTTGGAAGGAATCATACATGCTTCAATACCTTGTTTTAAAAGTGTTTTTTGTAGCTGGGAGAATCAGTCAAAAGAACATTTAGATCTACTGGAAGAGAGGCAAGAACCAAGCTATTGTCTCAAAACACTATTCCCAATTTTGAAGCAAAACTATGGCAGCATCATGCTTTTCTTGCACAGGGAATGGGCAGCTGGTCAGAGTTTATGGAAGGACAGATGGACAAAAATATGAGGCAATCCTGAGATGACTGAGATGAAGGTTGAACTTCCAGCGGGATTTTGCGTGGGATGGTTTAGATCAGAACATTTCCCTGGATTACAGCAGCCAAGTTAAACTCCAGACCTAAATACAGTTAGTCCAAAAGTGCTGACTAAACTCCAGACATATTTCACATACATTGCAATAAAATACAATCAAGTGCTTGGTAATAGAGTGTAAAAATGTGCAAGCACTGCAGATAAAACAAGTACTTTGATTATATTAACTTGCACAATTTTACATTTGGATGTAAGAAAGTTTTTTCACAATCAAATACGTTGTAGTTGATTTCAACATAATAACCCCTCTAATGTAAAGAATTAACAGAAAAAGGAGAAAAGTGCAAACAATATAAGACCCTGAACTTATGATGTGTGGTAAACTGACCTATTGAGATTGAACTCACTGTAGCCTGACCCCCTGTATGACAAACAATCCCTAACTCTGACAGGACGGGATCCCTCCAGGCTCTGATGCAGGTGCAGGCTGATTTTGAATCCATTGTTAGAGACTTCCTGCAGGGCACTGAGGGGCTCTGGGCCCAGCTGGTGGAGCTTCATGCTGGGGTGACTCTAACCAAACAGGACAGCCAGGGCAACAGAGACCTGGCTTCGGTCCAGGCAGACGCTGAGGTAAGGGGGAGTAACTGCTCGTATGCACGGATATAAACTTGTTGTCTAAATGTTCCATCAGTTTGATTGTTTCTAATTTTCTCTGTTTTCTCTCAAAGAGCTTGATTTCAGTTTTGGGTCAGTATCAGAACAAGCTGAAAGTCTGTCAGGCTCATCTGAAGGATAGCACGCAGCTCCTGCAGGTGAAACTTTACTCACAAACAAATAATATTTGGTATTTTCTGTTCTGATTGTTAAAGCCTTTTGTTTTGCATCCGTAGGAGTTAACCTGGAGTCATGCTCACATCAGCAGCAAGGTGAACGGCGGCGGCGAGTCTGTCTGGCCTGAGCTTTTGCTTCAGTCCAACATTGAGCAGGTACTTTACAGCCTTCTCTGAAATAGAAGCTGTTTAATTGATTAGAAACCAACCGAAACAACCTTTTTCCCTGCAGGCTGACAAAGTTCAGGAGAGTTTCAGTGCTCTGGAGCAGCAGATTGCTACCTTTAAGACCCATCTACAGGGGCTAGGAAAAGAAGATCAGGAAGAAGCCGCTGGGCTGCTCACTCACACCAACAGGTCAGCTTCAGATCCCGACTCTCTGCAGAATTCCTTTCAGATTGGGGATTTGCCTCTGAGGAGTTCAACCCCTGTAGCTTCAAAAAAGCCATCTCCTATATCAACACTAAAGTTTCCCTCCTCAATGAGATGCCTGCCAAAACCTGGAAAGAAGAAATGATTTGTGTTGTTTTTTTTTTTAGATATTAAATATTTAATTTTGTCTTCTTTTTTTAATCAAAAATGTTTTATTTATAAAGTTTCTGCAGATGTTGATCATTTGCTGGCTGCCTCAGAATTAAGTATTTATTTTTGCATCAATCACTTTGTGTAGATTGCATCTTGCATTAAGTTTTTTTTGTAATTAATAGCTGCTGTGATGCCAGTTTATCTACAGGGGGATTAAATATTTTAAACACTAGGGGGCAGTCTAACATCAGATGTTAAAGGTTAGCATTTGCGTCCAAACAGAAAATGTCAAAACATTTTAATAATGTATATCTTTATCTTAACTGAATTGTGATTAACAATACACTGTTGCTATGTTTTTTTACTCAAAGAAAAGATGCATTTAGTTGTACTGCTGCTACAATAAAATTGAATTTCCCAAAACAAAAACATAAAACATTTTTTTTCATATAACATTAAATTCACTTTATTAGAGATAAATTAAGAGTTTATGACAATCTAAGAAATGATACAAGAGATGTTTTTATGTTTAAGATGTTATTTTTTACAAAGTAACCTTTTTAACACCGTTATTTATTTATATATTTTGTGACTTATATTCTTTTAAAACTGTATTTATTTTTCTTTAGTCCCTTTTTTTACTGAGTCTATTTTAAGAGGAAAGTTACTCTGATATACATATTGTTCTGCCACGAAAGAGAGAGGCAGATGCCTGAAGAACAGTGTTTGAGAGGAATGAGAAATGTACAACAAGGAGATATAAAGCATGCAGGGAAATATCCACCTGGTCATTGTGTAACGCCCTGGACATCACAGTCCATCACAGAAAAGCATGAAGACATACACACTTAAACCAAAGGACAATTCAGAGAGAAGTGATAACCAGTCATCTTTTTGCGAGGAATTAAATGTACCCGTAGAGAACCAATAGATTCACTGGGATACCATGGAAACACAGTGCAGAAAGATACTAGGCTGAAATTCATACCCAGGACCATCTACCCAGCAACCTGGTTATCATCCGTGTCATGGAAAATAATGCAAATAGAATTAAAATGGCTAAAAACTGAATGATTTAAGCAGTGGCTCCATTCCACAAAATGTGCACAGTGGGACCAGGCAGGGGCCAATGTGTAGAGAGGAGTGGCTGAAAACTTATATGTGCAAAAAACATTTTACTAATAATCTATGCTGATAACAATAAAACCAAATGGAAAATGAATGACACAACATCTATATTTTACAAACAAATCACTGAAGACAGGTCAGATTTTCATAAGGCTCTTGCCAATACGTATTTAGTTACGTATGTATTTATACATTGATGGTGTTTAAATTAACTTATGGCTCTACATGATATATTACACATGACATGGGTTGAGTTGTTATTTATCTGTCATGACTCAGAACAGAGAACCCAATATTTGAGTTAAGCCAGACATTGGGATAATTCAAAAGCGTTTATTAAAACAACGGATGATCGGAGTAGCAGTGGCTAGAGCGTCTACCTCAGGAAACTCTGGTTTAACAGTTCAGGCCGTGTCCTGAGAACGAGGCAGGATCCAGCCGGTTTGCTGCCAACAAGATGAAGCGGGCGCCGCCATGAGTGTCCCACACGCTGCAGCCTCGGAGAATGCAGAATAAGCAGGAGTCTGAAGACAGTTCAAGCAAACTGTTCAGATGGGAAGAGGCAGGCTCAGTGGTTGAGAGGCAGAAGAGGCCAGGATGAGGTAATCAGAAACACTCAGGTATGCTAAAACCCTCTCTCCACTGGCTAGAGAGAACTAGAATAATCTGGCACTGTTAACTGGATGCGCCGTAAATAGAGGCAGGAGGAGGAGGAGGAGGCTCAGATGAGCAGTGATTTAAACTGGGCAGAGTTAGAGAGGTGAATAGAATGAATAATTAATCCAGTCATAAGCGCCAAGATCATGACATTATCTTTAAGTACATAGAAGATTCCTAGATGACTGCAGTCTTTTTCCTGTAAAATAAAAAAACGAATCCTTAAAAGAGCAAGAATTCTGTATCAGTCCTCCTTATTGGTAGATTATTGATGTGTATTATGTTTTGCTGTTTTTTTTTTTCTTTTGTCAATGTCGAAATCTCCTCACAATGATATCACTGCTGCCCCCCTCTGGTTTTGATAGAACTGATTGTTCCAGAGGTGGTGAATTACACGCACATGCTAACTAAAATCACCTGTTGGGGGTGGCCAATGAATGATTAGCTGGACCATTAGCTGAATGCAAAGCATAAAGCAGAAAATCAGAGGTAAGATAATATTTTAGGCTCTTTGTGATTTTTTACTCATAAGTTTTAGATGCTTTTTATCCCCAGAAAATAATGTTTCTCCAACCTGCCTGTCATCCTTTCCTCCATCTGTTCATTTCCTCAGTTTTTAAGCCAAGGACTTGAATGAAACTGAAAGAGAAAACACCACAAATCTCCAGACACGCTTCTTTAAATGACCTTTAGGGAACCCTGGGAAGAATTGATAATAAACCAAGCAGCATGAATTAAACATAAAAACTTTTACATTGTTTAACTATAAACCAGGTGTAATTTTTTTCTCCAAATTGTTTCATATTAATAAGCAGCAAAACTTGATTTCAAAATTTTCTGGGTCATGAAAACCCTCTACAAACTACAGGAGTGGGGACTAGTTTAACAAAGCGACTCCTTTGACTTTCCTCAGACTTAACAGAACCTCCTTGATGCGGTCCTGCTGAGGGTCGGAGGACCGGGGCGGAAAATGTCTAAAGAAAGGAATCTTTTTAAAGATCCTGGAGAAGTTCTGCTCAAAAAAAACAATTTAAGCCACAGTTTGTGAGAAGATGACGTCACCTTCTGTCTGAGCAACATGTGAATGAAGCTAAAAACTAACAGATGAAGAAATGACCACATAAAGACTTTAAATTTTTTTTGTTTTGGGGTGAATCTGAAAAGGACACATGAGCTAAACACGTCACATTTTTGGCATATTTTTGGGGGGATGAACATTAAACTTAAAATAGCCTTAAAATTATGTACATAGGTGTCCAGTGTTTAGATAAAGTTTGGGCTCCTGGAAAGAAAAATATAACAGCAGTGATGGATAATCCAAGGCAGGGGCCTTAATTGTCAGTACTCAGCATGTTATGTGTTTCTAAACAATTTTCAAAAAACTGGTTCATTAGCAGAATCCTGTAAAAAAATGTGTGTTTAAGGGGTTATATCGCCATAAAATATAAATGCTTTGGAGCATAGATGCACCTGAAATCTGTTAGACAGTGGCCGTCCAAACTCTTGATTTAAAGCTCTTTTTGTGCTGCACATCCAAATTGTTTCCATTGTAAAATCAGATAAGGACTTATCAAAAACCTGCAATCTCTTCTATTTCACAACAAACAACTAGAAGAACCCATTAGTTTTAAAAAAATGATGACAAAGTCTGGTATTGGAGCTTTTATCATGCAAGCATTTTCTGTTGTAAGCTTTTGATGCAGCCATAGTTACCTTATTATGTGATGAAGTTTGTTTTTCTCAGCTTAAATGTTTCCTATTCCTTTTGTGCTTCTTTGTCCGTGTCAGACTAAGTACCTGAAGCAGCCAGATTTATTTTTTTGAAATGGGTATTTGAAGTCTGTGGCTAAGGTGGAGGGAGAAAAAAAAAAGCGCAAAGGGGGGGCAGTGAAGGTCAGCGCCGGAAGCATTTCTGTTATTAGTAAAAACTGAGCAGCCCTCTAGACCTTTACGAAAAGCATGAATGCCTTTGATCCATATTCAATTACCCCTGCAGCCGCCACCACATCTTAGGCCTACAAGCGGACATAGTTTTCGCCAGCAGATTCCTTTTCAGGCCTGGGTATAAAAGAGCTGTAATTGGCGTGTGGTAATTAATGACAGCCGTTAGGCAACAGTTGTGCGGACTCTGTACAGTACACATGCCACAGATGTCATTTGACCGTGGACTTGGCCACCATCTGCCAGATCCTGCATCTGTCCGATTCTCTCAAACTGAGCAGAGAGAATCAGGGAGATGGGGAAGGCCATAACAAAAAAAAGATCTGTGATCTGAATATTCAAGGATTCGAACTGTAAAAAAAATGTTGTTGCCTTTGGTTGAATAACAATAAAAAAATGACATATTATGTCGATCATTTGAGGAAACTTTTTATAGAAACTGTGGTGTAATTTGTGTTATTTTAATTCAATAATTCATTATTAGAAAAAGCAGCATTTCACTACAAAACAAGCTCTGTCCAAAGCAACCAATGCTTCCTCTTGCTGCAGTTTGATATCCTGGCCAGTAGGGGGCTGGGGCCCAGGGGAGCAGAAACCAGCATCAGCTTTCTGCTTATTGTCAGAGTGTGCAAATGAAATTAACACGGGCTTTGTTTAGCTACACTAAAACACTGATAACTAGTTTCCTCGCTGCCCTGGTCCTGCAGAAGAGGCTGTTTCAAAGCCAGCTCAAGTGTGTGTTGTTTGAGAAAATATGGTTCGTGGCAGAGGTCAATCCTTTGACTTATTCCGACAATTACTCAAGATCAGGTTTCACTGTGGCTACACGTAGCACAGATTTGAGCTGATCCCTCCTCTGATGACACTGTGAGGAAACCACTGCAGTATGCAAACACTGCCTGATATAAACACACTCAATACCTTAACACTGACTTCATTAAAAGTATACAGTTAAACTGCTTAGAAGATTTCCTTAATGCTTGAAAATCCACTGGTAGTTACTAAAGCTTCAGATTAAAAACACAATGATTATCGAATATCTGAAAAGCGAAGGAACAGGAGCTAGAAGCTTGAGCATCTATACCTTACTTTCTGTAGGTATTTGTTTAAAAAACTTTGTATTTCAAATAACGTATTTTAGGCCTTAATTGATTATTTTGAAGAAGTTTTGTTTCTTTTTACTTATTTTGTACAATATTCTTTCAAATACCAAAATTTTAAGATGACTACACATTGAGTTTAGAGAGAATTTATTCAATATGGATGAAAAATTTGGTTTTACAAAAGTGACTAGACTTTTTTGAAATTTTTTTAGTAATTATGTCTAAATTAACCTCACATTTCTACTTTTTTTCTTCCCAGACAGACAAACCTTTTGGTTATATCTTCGGTCCGGGTGCAGGAGAGCAGATGAAGAGTAGCAGTAAGACTGGCCGGCACTAGTTACTGATTTTATTATAATGTCTAAACTTTTATTGAGAAGTTACATGCACATACATTGACTTTGCAGTTTTTTTAATTTGACAGAAGATAATTCCAATTTATTTACCAAAGCATATGTCCTAACCTTTATTCATTTTAACTGTAAACCTAAAACTGACTGTTGATAAGTTTATACACTTAAAAAAATATACTTTTCAGTTCAGATGCATTTGCTAAATAATAAAAAAGAATCCTATTTTTA